TTCATGCCCCGGTCCGGGAAGATCCCACATGCCGCGGAGCGGCTGGGCCCGTGAGCCATGGCCGCTGAGCTTGCGCGTCCGGAGCCTGTGCTCCGCAACGGGAGAAGCCACAACAGTGAGAGGCCCCGCATACTGCAGAAAAAAAAAAAAGAAAATCCTTGCTTGATCAGACCAAATCGACTAAACAAACTTTTCTTTTTTTTTTACATTTTTTTTTTTTTTTTTTTTTTTGCGGTTCGAGGGCCTCTCACTGTTGTGGCCTCTCCCGTCGCGGAGCACAGGCTCCGGACGCGCAGGCTCAGCGGCCATGGCTCACGGGCCCAGCCGCTCCGCGGCATGTGGGATCTTCCCGGACCGGGGCACGAACCCGTGTCCCCTGCATCGGCAGGCGGATTCGCAACCACTGCGCCACCAGGGAAGCCCTCAACAAACTTTTAATAGACCTTTGTACCTCTCCTTCTTAGCACACTGCAATTTTTCATTTGTTGGCCCAATTAATGTTTAATCAGAGATTGTCTTTCCTCTAGGGTATAAGCCTCCTGAGGACAGGGAATGTGTCTTATTCCCTATGATATTCCTAGTACCAAAAACAGCACCTGCTACATAGTAGGTATTTAAATATTTACTGAACAAGTTCATAAATCAGCTTTTTGGTTTGCTTGTTTATTTTCCCACTGTTTTGTCTAGAGATGGACACAAAATGTTTGCAAAAGACCAAGATATTCAAATTGCAGTTGTAGCATTGTCAATATTGTCATCTGTTAAAATGGATTTATCAAAGCTTCAGATGATAACTTAAATGCTTTCTCATCAAAGTAAATGAATGCAAAATACATTCCATGAAATATTTTGACATTTAAAAATTTGTATCAGACTGACCTGCTTTCATCAAAACCAAGGACAGGATCAGCTGTTTTCTGAGCCTTTCTAGTAAGAAATAAAGGCGCGACTTTCACTTTTCCTTAGAAAAATAAATGCTTAGGTTAGTATCAAGGTTCATCATCTCCACTTACCTCTAGCTACTTTTAAAACTTAAAAAAAATTTTTTTAATTAAAAAATTTTCTATAATGAGCTGATCTCTCAACTTGGCAAAATCAATATCAGAATCTCTTGGGGAGCTTCTTTTTAAACTACAGATTCCCACAACCCACCTCTGGAGATTCTCAGTCAGTATGTCTAGGGAAGGACCTAAGGATTTAAAAATTTTTTTAATTTACCAGATGATTTTGATAATCAGTCAGCTTTGGGAACCACTAAGTTAACTGAGGCTAAATAGATACAAAGAAATGCAATCACTTAAAATACACTCAGTTACCTTTTGTAAAACTCTTCACTACATTATAACTTTACTCACTCATTAAAATAGAAATATCTAATATAATTAAAAGGTTATATTTTATAAGACAAGAGATTAAATCAAAATGAGATAAAGTTAAAATTCAGAACAATATAATCCCCCCAAAACATTCTAATGTTCATCATCAAGTTATCAAATCTGATTACCAGGGACATTTTTAGGAGTCTTGTTAAGTTTTTTTCCTAATACATCATTCAGACACTGAAGTTTCTTCTGATTTTTCTCAGGATGCTTTAAAGGAGTAGGACTTGAACCTGTTATTACAGAGTCCTAAGACAGAATAAGAAAAAAAATTTTAATAACATACAATTAATGTTATTAAAATTTCAAAAGGATTACAGTGCTAGAAGCCATGACAAGATAATCACATTAGCAACTCCATACATCTCCCTGTCAGAAACTAACACAGAAAACACAGGATATGAATGGCAATAGTCTGTGCTTATATCATACAAGTTCACGAGATCAAAGAGTGGATTTATTATGACCATGGGTTTTCTTTTTTAAAGAAGCAACGAACAGATTATATTGCAGATAAAAGAATCAATACAACTAAGCTATAAAAATTATGGCTGTTCCCTTTCAGAACTATACATCCTAGATATGTATTAGATGTAGTCTGGTAAGTTCTCATGTGGTCAGCATACATCTATTGAGCATCTACTATGTGTTAGGCAATACAGCAGGCACTGGGAACGCACACAAAAATGAAACTCTAGAGTTGGTGTCAAGTTTCCACCAGGGTTTAGGGGACAGAGGGAGAGCTAATCTATGAGTAAATCGTTTAACTAGTGAGCTTCCCTGGTGGTGCAGTGGTTAAGAATCTGCCTGCCAATGAAGGGGACACAGGTTCAATCCCTGGTCCAGTAAGATCCCACATGCCCGCAGAGCAGCTAAGCCCGTGCACCACAACTACTGAGCCTGTGCTCTAGAGCCCACGAGCCGCAACTGCTGACCCCACATGCCACAACTACTGAAGCCCGCATGCCTAGAACCTCTGCTCCGCAACAAGAGAAGTCACCGCAATGAGAAACCCGTGCACCGCAACGAAGAGTAGCCCCCACTCACCACAAGTAAAGAAAGCCCGTGCGCAGCATCGAAGACCCAAAACAACCAAAGATAAATGAATAAATAAATTTATTTTAAAACATAGTTTAACTAGTTATAATATAGTATAGTGAAAGTAATACTGACTAAATACAAAAAAAAACCCCATGAAAGTAAATTAAAGTACATATAGGGAAGGAGACTATTTGTCTTGAAGGCATCAGCAAAGCTTTCAAGAGTAGGTAGTCGATTATTCACAGCATTTTTCATAGCCAAAAAGTGGAAGCAACCCAAATGTCCATCAATTGATGAATGGGTAAATGAAATGTGGTATTTCCATATAATGGGGTGTTATTTGGCAATAAAAAGAAACAAAATACTGATTCTACAACATGGAAGAACCTTTAAAACATTACGCTAAAAAAAAAAAAAAACAAAAAAAAACATTACGCTAAATGACAGAAGCCAGATACAAAGGACACATATGGTAGGATACCATTTATATTAAATGTCCAGAATAGGCAAATCTATAGAGACAGAAAGTAGATTAGTGTTTGGCTAGGGCTGGGGGAGGGGAGATAGGAAGGTGACAGCTAAGGAGAATGAGGGTTCCTTTGGGGGTAATGAAATATTCTAAAACTGACTGTGGTGATGAATGCACACCTCTGTGAATGAATGCACACTCTTTAAAAGTGACTGAATTGCACACTTTAAATAAATCATGTTATTATATTTTTTAAAAAAAGAGAGAGAGATGGTGGCATAATTTAGCAGGATCTTAAACTCTGAGTAGGAATTCCTCAGGTGGAAGAGAGTACCTAATATACATTTTATGCTGAAACTACAAACTGAAAAAAGTAAAAATTGCAGCCTTTGGGGCAAAATGAATAATTTAGTATGACGGAGCAAAAAGAGTGTGTTTGAGGAAGGGGGGTTGTTTTGAGGAAAAGGAGGAGCTAGTTCAGCCTAAGAAGGATCTTGAATGACTTGATAAGGATTCAGAGTGTATTCTGTAGGCAAAAGAGAGCCAAAGCCTTCGAAGAGAATGGAAAATGATATTTTTTCTACAACCTCAGGGCTTCCTACAATTCTACCTTATAATTTTATAACAGTTTCCTTCTCCCATTTCAAACAGAAGAACAGAACAGAATTTATATCAATAAATATTTGTAATACTTACTTCTGTTTCTGACTTTTCAGGGAGCGTCTGATGTCTGGACGAACGCCTTAAAGGTGTCACTATTTCTTCAGTAGCTTTTGACCTACTAATGTGTAAAGCTTTTGCTTTTTCAATCAATTGTTTTGCTTTGGATACATTTTTTGAAGCACTGCTTACCTAAACACAAATGTGAAATAATAATTTAGGTTACTGGCAAATATTTTATATTTAATAATAGAAAAAAAATAGAAAAGGCAAACCTTTAAAGACAGTAAAAAGATCAGTAGTTGCCAGGGAAAAAGGGACGAATAGGCAGAGCACAGAGGATTTTTAAGGCAGTGAAACTACTCTGTATGGTACTATAATGGTGGATACATGTCATTTTACATTTGTCTAAACCCACAGAATGTACAATACCAAGAGTGAACCTTAATTTAAACTACAGACACTGTGTGATAATGATGTGTCAATGTAAGTTCATCAATTATAACAAATGTACTATTTTGATATTGATTATGGGGAGGCTATGCATGTGTGACAGCACTGGGTATATGGGAAATCTATACCTTTTGCTCAATTTTGCTGTGAACCTAAAACTGCTCTAAAAAAATGAAGTCCACTAAGTACATATATAATAGAAAAATATAATCACAGATCACACTAAATAAAAGACCAAAAAAATGGTTATTCAAATCTTACCAAGGAAATGAAATTAAAATGTGTCTAATTATACTTGGTTTGCCTTTATTGCTTGCTTGAAATCTATTCAGATAAATATAATTACATTTGTGAAAAATACCCAAAAAGATATCCATATTAAATGTCTGTATATAAAACATTTTTTAAAAATAGATGTCTGCCGGGCTTCCCTGTTGGCGCCCTGGTTGAGAGTCTGCCTGCCGATGCAGGGGACACGGGTTTGTGCCCCGGTCCTGGAAGATCCCACATGCCGCGGAGCGGCTGGGCCCGTGAGCCGTGGCCGCTGAGCCTGCGCGTCCGGAGCCTGCGCTCCGCAACGGGAGAGGCCGCAGCGGTGAGAGGCCCGCGTACCGCGGAAAAAAAAAAATAAAAAGATGTCTGTGGACTTCCCCGGTGGTCCAGTGGTTAAGACTGTGCTTCCAGTGCAGGGGCCATGGGTTCAATCCCTAGTCAGGGAAATTCCACATGCTACGTGGTGCAGCCAAAACAAACAAATAGATGTCTGTACAGATCAGAATTACTGATTATTTCCCCATTATCTTCATGGCACCTATTCTTTGATTTTAGTCACTTTTAGGCTGAGTCCTTTGAAGAGAGGTTGAAAAGGTAGTAGGTATGGAAAAGAGCACTGATAAGAATAAAGTCTGGCCTTCAGGCCTGGCTCTGCCACTGATGTACTAAGCGACCTTATGCATTTAAATATTATCTTCCAGATAATGTATTTTCCATATTCTGAGTTCTACACGTTTTTACATTTGAATTAAAAACACATAGCAAGCAAAGAGCACAGGGTTTGGAAGATGGCGGACGACGTAGACCAGCAACAAACTACCAACACTGTAGGAGAGCCTCTGGATCTCTTCAGGCTCAGTCTGGATGAACGAATCTATGTGAAAATGAGAAACGACAGAGAGCTTCGAGGCAGGTTACATGCTTATGATCAGCATTTAAATATGATATTGGGAGATGTGGAAGAAACTGTGACAACTATAGAAATTGATGAAGAAACATATGAAGAGATATATAAATCAACCAAACGGAATATCCCGATGCTCTTTGTCCGGGGAGACGGTGTTGTGCTAGTTGCCCCACCATTGAGAGTTGGTTGAAACAAAGAATTTATCCTGTGTGGAAAATAGGAGATTTTGTATGATTGCCTCTTTAAATGTAGAAGATATTCAAAAGAGAAACCGGCGTATGTTTTGATTTTAAGAAATAACCAAGAATTCTTCAACTTCTGAAATAAGTTGATTTGTAGATAACTCACAAATTCTTAAGCTAAATGGCATTTTTATTTTCCTCCAACCCTTCCAATAAATGTGATCACCAAGATGCATAAAAAAAACCCAAAAGAAAACACATAGCAAGCAAGCTGCAAAATAGCTCACATTATATGATCCCTTTTAAAAATGACATATAAATATTTAAGGATAGGAAAAAGTCTGGACAGATGAACTTGTAACTATTAAAAGTGGGTTCCCCCTGGGGACCTCCCTGGTGGCACAGTGCTTAAGAATCCGCCTGCTAATGCAGGGGACACGGGTTCAATCCCTGGTCCGGGAAGATCCCACATGCCGTGCAGCAACTATGCCCATGCGCCACAACTACTGAGCCTGCGCTCTAGAGCCTGTGTGCCACAATCACTAAAGCCGGAACACCTAGAGCCCATGCTCTGCAACAAGAGAAGCCATCACAATGAGAAGTCCGCACACTGCAATGAAGAGTAGATCCTGCTCGCCACAACTAGAGAAAGCCCACGCACAGCAACGAAGACCCAAGGCAGTCAAATAAATAAATAAATTAAATTAAATCCAAATAAATAAATAATATAAGCAGCATTTAAAAGCTCAGTAGAATCTTTCTAAAAAGTAAGAGAGATAGCAATTAAGAAAAAAAAAGTGGGTTCCCCCTAAACAGTAGGAGAGAGAAAATTTTAAAAGTTTTCACTTTTAAATTTATATACTACTGTGTCTTTTAAACAAATGTTTGCCGTTTTTAAAAAGTTAAAAAAAAATTTTTTTGACTGTGCCTTGTGACATGCAGGATCTTAGTTCCCACACCAGGGATCGAACCTGTGCCCCCTGGAGTGGAAGCGCGGCGTCCTAACCACTGGATCCCCAGGGAATTCCAAAAACTTTTAAAATGTTTTTTAAAAACATTAAAAAGAATAGGCACGGAAAAAAATATTTTTTTAATTAAAACTAAAATATAAAAAAAGAATAGATATGGATATTCAGAACATACATAAGGAGGTTAGGAATGTTAAGGATCTGCTTTATAGTAGTAGAGTGACAGATTTTTGTTGTTCTGCTAGCAAAATTGTTTTTTCTTTTTCATAAGTTTATTTGATTGATTGATTTTTGGCTGGGTTGGATCTTCGTTGCGGTGCGCGGGCTTCTCATTGTAGTGGCTTCTCTTGTTGCACAGCACAGGCTCTAGGTGTGTGGGCTCAGTAGTTGTGGCTCGCGGGCTCTAGAGCGCAGGCTCTGTAGTTGTGGCGCACGGGCTTAGTCGCTCCGCGGCATGAGGGATCTTCCCGGACCAGGGCTCGAACACGTGTCCCCTGCATTGGCAGGTGGATTCTTAACCACTGCGCCACCAGGGAAGTCCCTAGCAAAATTTTTGACAGGCTGATGAACCTTAGGATAAGTTAGCATTCAAAATAATTCAGCTAAATTTAAATTAACGACTCAATCATTGAAACAGTTAAGAAAAACAGGGCTTCCCTGGTGGCGCAGTGGTTGAGAGTCCTCCTGCCGATGCAGGGGACATGGGTTCGTGCCCCGGTCCGGGAAGATCCCACATGCCGCGGAGCGGCTGGGCCCGTGAGCCGTGGCCGCTGAGCCTGCGCTCCACAACGGGAGAGGCCACAACAGTGAGAGGACCGTGTACCAAAAAAAAAAAAAAGACATGTTTTAGTGAAAGTGTGAAAAAAAAATCCACATGCATTTTGGCATGTAGTTCTGCTATTACCTGAAATCTGTTTTTTTTTTCCTAATCGTTATTTTTCTGATAAAAGTTTTTAAAAGTTCACGTTTATAGAAAAACAAAAAACAGAAAAATGAAGAAAATCAAAACCAACCATAGTCCTATCATCTCAAAAACCAGTCATTTCCAACACCCTCCTTTCTGACCTAGCTGCCTGTCCTCCCAGCTCACACTTGGTTACTCCTGACTAAAACAGGAACTTCCGTCCTGACAGCTCTCTACTTTCTCCTTATTTATCAGCCCCTGGTACCCCTTTTCCCTGTCCCCAGCTTAAATTCCATCATATATCATGTCAACTCTCAAAAATATTTTCACCTCCTTTGGCGCCACTGTCCTTCAAAACAGGGTTAGGGGGCTTCCCTGGTGGTGCAGTGGTTGGGAGTCCGCCTGCCGATGCAGGGGACACGGGTTCGTGCCCCGGTCCGGGAGGATCCCACATGCCGCGGAGTGGGTAGGCCCGTGAGCCATGGCTGCTGGGCCTGCGCGTCCGGAGCCTGTGCTCCGCGACGGGAGAGGCCACAGCAGTGAGAGGCCCGTGTACCGCAAAAAAAAAAAAAACAAAAAACAAAAAAAACAGGGTTAAATATTTACTTTATAAGATTAATGATAAGAGTACCAAGCATAGTACCTAGAGTGAGATAAGAAGCCCCCCCCACCCCGACGCGGTGCGGGGGGGGGCGGGGAAGAGAGTTGTTAAATAAAAACAAAAGAGATACCAACTTTCTGTGGCAGTGGCTTTCACCCAAGGATTCACACACACACACACACACACACACACACACACACACACACACACACACACACACACACACACTTGTACCTACTCACCCAGGAGAGAATCCAATTCTCTCATCATAAGGGATAAGCAGTTTACTTTACAAAAGCAGCTAAACTATTCTTATACATACAACCTCTCCCTTTAGAAAAATGTTTCAACTGGGGGTGATTTTTCCCTCCAGGGGATATTTAGCAATGACTGGAGATATTTTGGTTGTCATAGCTAGGGCAGTTGGGGTGCTATTGGCATCTCACGGGTAGAGGCCAGGATTACTGCGAAACATCCTATAACGTACAAGACAGTACCCCACAACAAAGAGTTATCCAGCGCACAATGTCAACAGTACCAGGGTTGAGAGACCCCACTTGTTAGCCTCTAATCTATAAAAATAAACCAAAAATTCAATCATGCTTATTTCCATAAGCAGCCTTAGGCAAAAAGATTGGAATATAACTGTCACTAAGAAAACTTTTTCTAAGTAAACGATACTGTCTTTATCAATTGCTTTCATCTCACAATAAGATATGTTGATCTCTTAATAAGCTAACTAGAGGAATAAAATAACAGCAAAAAATAATATAGGGTTATAGTTAACATAACCAATCTATGAAATATGTGAATCTTCTTTTGGCGTATCACTTCCAATAGTAATAGTTATTGTTTTACAAAACAGAATACCACTTACAGGACACCCTAATATTTCAATTACCTTTCTAGTCTGAGACTCAAAATCTTCATCAGCTGCTTCAGATTTCTTAGATCTTTTCTTAGATTTTTTCTTAGATTTTTTGGGAGTACTAATTCTGGTGAATTTCATTCTGAAAAAAACCCAAAAAGATATTCACAAACATTTATGTGATTATAACGTGTAAGAATTTCAATTAAATATAGAAAGGAACCAACTAGGGCTCTAATTTCTGGACAGTTCTGAAACAGAAAACGAAAAAAAACACCCCCCATCAGTTTCAAACTACTGATTCAAAAGTAAGCCAAACTCAATGTTAAACTCTTAGAAAATATAAAGTTTCATTTTATAAATCATAAGCTTTCCAGAATATTAGCCCCTAGGATTAGCCAGAACCAACATGCAAGTATATGTTGAGTTGGCCAAAAAGTTCATTCGGATTTCCCGAGGCATCTTATGGAAAAACCTGAGCAAACTTTCTGGCCAACACAACACCTCACAGTATATGGCTCAGCTTACCTAAAAATGTTCTATGATTTATTTTTAATCTTATGTTTGTTAAACACACAGAATTCATATTTGGAGGATATTTCTCCAGGAATTAACAACTATGATAAATAAGAGTTTAAAACTCATCTAAAATACGACTAGAATTCTTCTGAAATCATGCCTGAGTTTAAATTAAATATGGAAAATAAGCAACATTTTTGAAACCCTGTTTTCTTTTTCTTATAAGTCAGCTGTGTTCTAGAAAAAAAAAAAAATTCTTCAGTGCTTGACATATTTTCCTTCACATCTAATAATACATGCAGAATATTTAGAACTTGAGAACAAAACAAAACTTTACCTAATAGGACTCTCTGAATCAGAGGATACTGTTATTAATTCCGCTGTATATAAGCTACGCTTCCCTGATAAGTTCGCTGCTTTTGGAGTGGAAGCTTTTACTGGACTATCGTCTTGTGCGTCTTCAGAATCAGTAGCTCTAATGATTACTGTAGCAGGTGTGCTGCTACTTCTTACAGATCTTCTGCTTGGTTTCAGTGTAGAAACAAATACCAAGCTGTCTTCAGTCTCAGCTTTAGAGTGTATAACCTTATCCTTAACTGGTATGCCGGTTTTTCTTGAAGACTTATTGTTACACGGAGAGGAAATTTTTAGAGGGTCATCATCTGCTGCACCTTCACAAACAAGGTTTTTGCTGTTAAGTAATGTGCTGTTTTTGAAAACTTCTGTTTTCTTTTGTCTTAAACTCATTCTAAGCCTGTTTTGATTTTGTTTCTCTTTAAAGGAAAAAGTTGATTCTTTCTCTTGAGGATTTCTCTCTCTATTTTCACCTGGAATAGCACCAGTATCTAAGATTTTTTTATTCTTTTTCTTCAGTTTTTTACTTTTCTCCTTAGGAAAACCTCCTTTATCAGCATGTGTCTGTGAATTGCCATTATTTGAAATCATTTGGATATTAGGATTTTCCATGATTTTTTTAGAATTATTGTCTCTTCCTTCCTCATTTAAAGATTTTTCATTGAGCTCTTTCTGCTTATCAGAAGACTTTTTGACTCCATTTTTAAGTGCATCTGATGTTGGCTGCCTAAATGCTTTCATAAACTGCTGTCTTTCTTCTAGAGTGCATTTTGGTTTCACAGCTTCAGAACTTCCAGCTTCCAACACTGCCAATTCTAGTTCTTCCTCATGTATAACGACATTAGATTTTCTTTTCTGACTCGTCTGTTCATTCTCAGGATCAGACAGACTATTTTCCATTTCCACCTGCTTTTGTTTCAAGAAAATTGAGGGTATTTTCCCTGTCTTTTTTGGGGGGATGGGGTGAACTTGGGCAAGAACAGTGACTGTCTTAAAGCGGACCTGTTGGGAAATTTCATAGGTTTCTGGGTCAGTCATACAACCACTTTTGACTGCATCGTCAACAGTTTCAGAAGGAATACAAACAGACACTGTAGAGTCTGGTGCCTGTTCCACTTTACTTTCGTTGTGACTTTTTAAAAACTCCTCATATGAGACAGTTATTGTACTATCATTTAACTGGGCTGTT